TGGCCTTGTCGCTCCTATTCTAGTGGTCGGACTAGTAGTGCCGCACTGGTTTGCTCTTGTCTTGTTTGTACTCTTCTGACCGGTCTTCGAACCCTTGCCCCAGAGGTTGGACTAGTAGGGCCACCCTGAGCTGTGTGTTTCTTGCTAGGCACTGCCCCTTGTCTAGCCTAAGGGGTGTGTCAACATATATTTATATATTGTTATAGGCTAGATAGGTGCATGCTCATAGAGAGTACAACACTATAGCATAAAACCCCCCCTGTATGCTTGTTTCTAGTCATTCGGTTACTCTGAGATCAGCAGCAGGGAATGTTTCAGCAATAGCATGGAGTGTAGCAGCTGCAGGGAGTGTGGCAGCAGCAGGGAACGCAGCGTTAGCAGTGAGTGCGACGGCAGCAGGGAGCCTAAATCTCCATACCCGACCTTTTGCCAGTTAAAACCCGAGTCTAGAATGGTAAAAAACCATGAGTACTGGGCATGAAATCAGTGCCAAAAAAACTGGGCGAAAGTAGTTTCGCCAAAGTTCCCCCGACGAAGACAAAATTTGGCGAAATAGCAGAACCGTGATCGCAGCACGGAATTTCATCGGCAAGAACCGAGTTCAAAAGTGCATGAACAGTGTGTGGGGAGTGGGGGGATGGGGAGAACAAACAGTGACGCGAGACCCCCACAAAAATGCGTTCAGAATGGTAACAGGCGAAAATCAAGAATACTGAGATGAACAGGAAATTCCGGGTTTGTCCTTTTCAGCGGCATTCGCAAGCTGCCCCCTCTTCCCTGAGAATTGCAACGTTCAAACGGCATTTACTACGTTACCCTCCCTCCCTCCCTCCCTCCCTCCCTCCCTCTCTCTCTCTCAACCAATCCTGGGGATCTCCCACTGTCCACCCATCTCACTCTCTTTAAACCGATCCCTCTCACCCTCTCTATGCTCATATCCATTTCTTCTCACTCAGCCCATCCATCTCTCTCTCTCCGACCATTCCTATGGCTCTTCTCCAGATCTTCACAAGCTACCACTCATCCCCACTATTCATGTCTTCTCATCCCCCTCTTCTCATCGCATCTCTTATGAACAGGCCGTGCGGGAGCATTCTTCCTGGGTTTCTTGTGCACAAAAACTCTAAAGAGAAAGTGGTCTCAGAATAGAAAAGTTGACTAGAATGTGACATACATGTTGATTTTGTGCAAACTTTGTACCCTCTAAGAGCATGCACATATCTAGCCTATTATAACATACATACAAATATGTTTGACACACCCCCTAGGCCAGATGAGGAGCAGTACCTGGAGGTCGACACACAGGTCAGGGTGGCACTACTAGTCCAGCCTCTGAGGCAAGGGTCCGGAGACCAGTCAGCAAGAGTACAAACAAGACAAGAGCAAACCAGTGTGGCACTACTAGTCCGACCACTGGAAGAGAAGCCACAAGGCCAGTCAAAAAGGTATATATAAAGAGAAGTACACAATCAAGGTCCTAGCAAGTGAGTAGCTACATGAACCAGACCAAGCTGCAAACAGTGCCGCTGATGATCTCTAGGCGCAAGCGCCTCTAGTAAAGATATCAGCTGTGTTGGCACCGGAGGCCAAGTGTACTACACGGGCCTGGCGATGCTGCTGTAGCTCGCGCAGGAGGAAGTACCGCAGCTGGATGTGCTTCGCTCTGCCCTCCAAACGAGGCTCCTGACATAGGAGGATCATGGCCCTGTTGCTAGCATATAGAACCGGGGCAGAGCTAGGCCGCTCACCTAAGTCTGTGAGCAAGAAAGTCAGCCAACGGAGCTCCTATGCCGCCATGGCACCAGCGTAGATCTCAGCCTCGCAGCTGGACTCAGCAACTGACGACGAACGAGTGGACCTCCACAAGACCGCGCCTGCACCATGGCTAAAGAAGTAACCCTGAGAGGACCTGAGGGTCTCTGCGTCGTCTGCCCAAGAAGCGTTAGTGTGCCCAGTAAGGACCACAGGCCTGCATCCTCCCAGTACTAGCCCCATGCCCAATGTACTTGCTAGATAACGCAAAACCCTGTTAGCGGCCGACCAGTGATGTGGTCGCTGTCTACCTGTAGCCACAAAGCGAGCTAGGATGCTGAGAGGGTATGCGAGATCTGGGCGAGTGCAAGTCATCAGGTACATGAGGCAACCCACCAGCTCTCTGTAAGGACCACTGGGCTCTACTGACTCCTCAGGAACAGGAGCGGAGAGCCTGTGGTCTATTCGCAAAGGTATGGGCCGTGCGGAGGAGAATTGAAGACCAAACCTCTGAAGGACTTGGCGCACCAAGTGTGACTGTGTGAGAGTGATGGTGCGAGCTGCTCTGTCCATGGAGATCTGCAGGCCAAGGTAGCGGCGCAGCTCTCCTAGGTCAGTGCAGGTGTGCCAAGCAGAAAGGTACCGGTCAAGCCCTGTGGACAGCGCAGGTAGACCTACTCGTGTAGGGTGCCCTGAAGGAAAGCAGTGGAGAAGTTGAGGGAGTGAAGCTCGTAGTCACGCTGTGCTGCTAGGTGTAGCAGCGCCAAAAGAGTAGTCATCTTCGGGGTCGGGGCGAAGGTCTGAAAAAAGTCCAACCCCTCGCGCTGACTGAAGCCTCGAGCCACGTAGCGCGCCTTGAACAGAGGCGGCTCTCCAGGAGGGCGCTTCACCTTGAAGAGTCACCGGCCATCGAATACGTTCACCCCAGGTGGGGGAACTGTGTCGGCGTAGGTGCCGGTGGATCTCCAAGATGCCATCTTCTGCTCCATGGCAGCTATCCACTGAGAGGCCCAGGGTCCTGAGGTCGCCTCAGCGTAAGTGCGAGGGGTTGGGATGTAAAAGGCGTATGGGTCACCCTCAAGGACTAGCGGAAAGGAATAGAGATGGGGAGCAGCCCCGGACAGGAAAGCAAGCTCGTACTGCCTGTCCTCTATGACATTATTGCCAAGGGCAGGAGCACCCCCGACGGACGGAGGGTAGGCAGGGCCAGAGACCAGAGCTGTGGCATAGTCAAGGCGGTGGGTAGAGGCGAAGTTTGCGACAGCAGCGACAAGAGCGTCAAGACTCGAGACACGAACATACGGGTTGGTAACGATGGAGGCAAGGACCCGAGGAACAAGAGGACGAGTAGCACGAAGGTAGTCAGATTGAGGGGGAGGCGCGACAGCGAGCGACGACGGAGGAGGAGACTGGAGGAGGGGAGGACGAGACGCATGGGAATGAAGCAATATAGGGTGAGAATGCGTAACAGGAGAGACAGGACGAGCACGAGAGGGGCGGCGCGACCAGACGTGAGACGGAGGCGTCGGGTCAGGAGACTGAGGAGGAGTAATAGGAGGGGAACGAGGTGGGAACCTAGCCGGGGACGAGTCCGGCGAAGGAAACACAGGACCGTAGACAGGAAGGGGAGGAGTCAGCAGGGGAGGCACAGGCGAGCAGTCAGGGGAGGGAAGGCCGAGCAGGCGAAGGGCGGACACCGGCGGCGACTGCTGCTGCTGCTGCTTATCGATGCCGACACCTGGACCGCCAGCTACACCACAGCTACCTCCAGAACACTTTATGCCTGCACCCCCAGAGCAAGCACCCCCAGAGCGAGAACCCTCTCCAGCAACGTTACCAACCCCGAGCCCGCCAGGACAAGTCACGACAGGAACCCCAGGACTAGCACCCTCCTCAACGCCAACACCCCCTGAGTCCACAAACTGCTGCTGCTGCTGCGACGGCGACGGCTGCTGCGGCTGGGACAACGGCTTCGGCGGCGGGGGAGGGGATACTGGGGGAGAGGTAGGCGGCGAGAACCGCGCCGCGGGGCCACCAGAGTCAGCCGACTCCTCGACCGGGACCACAAGCGGGAGGGGAGTGACGTTAGAGACTCCAGATGGAGCAGGACGGGGAGGGAGGGGAGCAGGGGCTACCGGGGGAGTGGGAACAAGAAATAGGAGTGGGAAACCGGGAGACCTCGGTGGAGAAAGTGGCGGTAAAAGGAGACAGACTCGTTGAAAGTGACGTCACGCAAGTGAAGAAGCAATAAGACGGCTGGTGGTAAAAGTGCCAGTCAGACGAGTCAAGAGGGAAACCAAGGAAGATACAGGGGACAGTGCGGGCAGTGAGCTTGTCCGTGCCAAAGGCACGAACATGAGCGAGGCATCCCTAGACGTGGAACGCAGACGCGTCACCAGGAGTCCCGGTCCAAAGGAGGGTCGGTGAAACCTACGGCCGCTGGGAGTGGGGCCACAGGTTCAGCTGGTGAGCGGCGTAGCGCAAAGCGAACGGCCAGTGACCAACCTGGCACTGACCTGGAAGGTGACTTTGGAAGCCGCTTGCGGGACTGTGGGCGGCTGTTTGGGGGTGAGCGGCCACTGCTGCGTCTCCTCCCTATCATTGTCGACCCCAACGATGTTCCTCCGTCAGTGGTCTGCAACTAGTGCTGTAGCAATACGCGGGACGGGGGAAGTAGGGCAAAGGGGGAAGCAGGGCGAAGGGGGAAGCAGGGCGAAAGGGGAAGCAGGGCGAAGGGGGAAGCAGGGCGAAGCGAGATGCAGAGCGAAGCGGGAAGCGGTAAGCAGAGGGGAGCGCGGGAAGCATCATGCGGGTAGCAGGATGCGGACCAGGCGAGGCGGCGGAATAGCTGTAGAAGGTAGCGTTCTAAGTGGGTAGCGTTAAATAGCAGAGATGCGGAAGCGGGATGCGGGTAGCAGGAAGGAGGCCGCACTTCGCTGTCTCGCAGTGTGCGGTGTTCATCACGGGAAGCGGGAGCACGGGGAATGCATAGGGGCGCGGGTGGCGTTTTGAGGGGGAGCGGGAAGCTGCACGAAGCGATTATACATGCCTCTTTGCTAAATTAGCTCATAGATACTGAACAGAGATTCACCAAGGGTGAGCTTCTGTTCTTCTAGGTTGCCTCCCATTCGTTTTCGACACCCGATTCCATAATTGGTTCCCTATTTCCGGGTGGTGCATGTGGCACCACACCATTGGATATTCCATTCCAAGATCTCCTTCGCGCATGCCCTGGCTTTGTGCACTGAGCCTGCTTTGGTTTCACTCGGCGTTTTTCTACAACTCGTCTCGTCGCATGGCACTCACTGTACACAAAAAGTATTTTTTTTTGTGTCGGTTTGGTCTTCCCTAACTCTTCGCCCCTGCCCTGCCCGCAAATGATTACCCCTCTGCTATTTTGCCGTGGGGTTTTAAAAGCCCAGATAAATAAATAAGGTTTCAACCAGAGCACAATCCAAAGGCTCCCAAGACTCTCCATCCCTTCTCCCAACACCTACTTGCCCTTCCTCCCCCTCCTCTTCCTGCTCCTCGGAGGCCCCACACACAGCAGGTAGCGCATCTGCACCTGCGCCTCGCTATACACCACATACTCGTTCCTCTCCACACACGGCTGGCCGCCCTTGGCTGGCGGAGTGATGTACTGGCACACACGGCCATACTCCTCTGGCCTCGATGCTTTGTGCGCCTCCAGCTCCTTGCGAGAGATGATGGGGCCGGCAGGGATGCAGCAGCCGTCAGGGGTCCACAGGCAGTGAGCGAGGTCGGGGGTGGTTCTGCCGATGGCAAATGTGGAGTGCGAGCCCGGCAGAGCCTCCTCCATGTACGTGGCCTGTGAGACGGCCTGTGACTGCCCAAGGGCCACCTCACACAGCAGCAGGCAGCGCGTCTGCTTCATGACGTGTCCTCTCCCAACCCCCTCCTCCTCTTCCTCCTCCTCTTCCTCCTCCTCGTAAGTATGGCTCCTCCAGTGCCCATGGTGCTGCGTGGCCGTATCACAGTACCCCAGGGATTTTTGGAACTGATCCGCAAAGTAGATGCCCTTCCCAAAGGCATAGCCCGACACGTCCGCTTCAGGAGGTGCGACGCGCAGCCCGCCGCTGAGCAGCCCGCAGAAGTTGGCCACGGAGGAGCCGTGGAACAGCAGCTGCCGGTGCGCGCGCACGGCCGAGGGGAGTGCGTCGAACCGCTCCCTCTCGCCCTCCCTGCACACCGCAAACACGTCATACACCTCAATCTCCGCCCTCGAAGCCGACCGGTGCACGTAGCGCGACAGCACGCGGTGGTGCTGGGTGCGCGGGTCGAGGCGCCGCATCGCCGCCCCCAGCCCCAAGTAGCAGTAGTCCAGCGGGTGGATGGCGGCCCGCCGCCTGGCCGCCGCCTCCGCCAGCTGGCGCCGTGCGCCGATGAGCATCTTGAGCGCCAGCTGGAGCTCCCCGAGGCTGGAGAGCAGCGCCTGCAGCGCCAGCAAGTCCTCCCGGGAGCGGATGCACTGAATGCGGCTGCGCGTGTGCTGCGTGGACGGCACGAGCTGGTAGAATTCGTTGCTCCGCTGCACCAGCTGCTCGCTGAGGCCCCTCCGCACCTCCTGCGCCGCCTTTATCTCCTCTGCCACCCGCTCTCGGGCTGACTGCCTGCTGTTGCTGCCCTCGCTCGTGCTGACCCTTGCCACGAGGGCAGTCTCATTCTCGCCCCCCTGTCCCTCACCTCCCCCCCCTTCACCGCCCTTGCTTCCCTCCAACCCCATCGCCCCGTCCCCCCCTTCCTTCTCTCCACCCACTCCCTGCCTCTCACCATCCTCGCCCTCACCATCCTCGCTCTCACACACCCGGCGTCTCTTCCGTCGCTTCTTCGCCGCCCCATCCACATTCGTCGCCTCATCTCCATCCTCCAGTGCCCCATGCTCCTCCTCTTCCTTCTCCCCCCCTTCCCCCCCCTTCCCCTCCTCCTCCTCCTCCTCCGCCTCGTACATCAGCCGCTGCTGCTCCGCCACCAGCTGGTCGATCTTCTTCCCCACCGCCTCATACTGGGGGACCAGAGCACCCACCTTCGCCAGGACCGTCTGTCCTCCCTGCAGCGCGTCGTCCGTCAGCTCCCCAAACGCCAGGTACGCGTCCACAGCGCCCAGGCGGCGCGCCTGCGCTCGCAGCGCCGAGACGTCGCAGATGACTCGGATGAAACTCTGGAGAGCCTTGGGGAGCCGGCTGGGCTCTGCAGCTGCAGATGCTTCAGCAGCGGCAGCAGGAACTGCAGCAGTGGCAGAAGCAGCAGGAGCAGCCGCAGCAGCATGCATAGCATTATCACCATTAGTAGCGTCAGGCAGCGCAGCATCAGGAGCAGGAAGAGCAGGTGCAGCAGCAGCAGCAACCCCTTCCCCTTGCACTCCCTCTCCTCGTCCTCCTCCTCTCCTTCCCAAGCCACTCTCCATGGCAATCAGCTGCGCCAGAGGCAGCACCAGCTCGACCTCCTCGTCCACATGGCCCTTGGGGATCTTCCTCCCCTCGCCTTCGCCGTTGCCTTCGCCCTCCCCTGCCTTCTTCTTCCCCGCTGGCCGGGCCCGCACGGGTGTGTATTTCCCCGGCTTTGGCTGGAAATCCCCACGGCTCTGCCAGTCATTCCCGGACTTGGCCTTGAAGATCTTTTCAAACTCCTTCACTGCCTCTTCCCGCGAGCCCATGGGGGTCTGCTGGTGCTCGCCCTCGTCACCCACACGGCCCCATCGGTTGAAGAGGATGTAGAGGTCCTGCGCCGCATTATGCAGCAGCTGCATCTTGTAGAAGTTGTGGAAGCCGTAGCGCCCGTACTCCACGTCAGTGCGCGTCATGAGCACCGAGTAGTCCCCAAGCACGCCGCACGTTGCACGGAAGTCGCCCGCGTGCTCGTCCACCTCCGCGCCGCACGCCTGCGCTGCCGCCTCCAGCTTTTTGTCCCACTCCGCCCGCATCGCCTTGGCATCCGCCACCACGTCCACCGCACGTCCTTCTCGCACGCCTGCACTCCCCTCTGCCAGCCAACGCTCCCCTGCCTCCGCTGCTTTCTGGGCGCCCTCCCGCCCTGCTGCTATTTCTGCATCAAATACCTCCAGCACACCGCCATCAGTAGTCACGGCAGTGCCTGTCACACCTGCCGTATCGCCTCCTTTCATCAGCTCTCTGATGGCGCCCAGCATGACACCTGATGACTGAGCTCCAGCGTCGTACAGCACCGTGTGCCCCCGGCCATCCCTCGTTGCCCACCGGAATGCCACATGTCTCGAGGGCGCATCCCCCGATTCCCCCCCCTGCACTGCCAGGCGGTGCAGCAGGCGCAGCAGGTGTGCGTTCTCATAGGATGCCTCGCACGGCCCAAAGGTCGCCACAGCTGAGTGGTATGCGGAGCGAGCATACGGGGGTGGGGCCAGGTTCAGATCCACACCCACGTGGCTCATCTGCACAGCAATGCCACGTGGCACCGCCAGCTTGCTCAGTGCTGAGCTGGCAGCCTCCTCGTCCCGGGATAGTGGGGCGGTCCACTTGCCGCCCAGGAGCACTGTAGCCATGCGCAGGTCGTTGCACCGCACAGCCTGCGTGAGCACCGTCTGGCCGCTCGCATCCCAGCGGTTGGGGTTGGCTCCGAAGCGAAGCAGCAGCTCCGCCAGGCAGTGCTGGCGCCGCCTCACCGCCACCACTATGGGCGGCAGCGTGCACAGCTTCTGCAGCGCCTGCGCCTCCCCCAGCACATCTGCACGTAGCGCCGCCTGCACTGTCTGCTGCACAGTGCCACCGTCGCCGCCCGCCTCACCGCTGCCAGTGGCAATGGCGCTCATGTCAAGAGGAAGCTTCTCCTGGCGCCCCACGTTGGGATCGGCGCCCGCGCTGAGCAGGCGGTACACATCCGCCAGCAGCTCGCCACCCCCCACCTGCAGCACGCGGTGCAGCGGCACCGACCGAACACCGTCGCATGCGTTCACGAGGGTGGGGTCGCCCCTGCGCAGACACCACTCCACGAGCGGAGTGAGGGCGGCGGCACACGCGAGGTGCAGGGGGGTCTGCCCGAGGGCGTCTGTGGCAGCCAGCAGCATGCGAATCGGATCATCTGCCGGTCCCATCCCATGCGCATCCGATGTTCCAAAGGGTCCCGCTGCTCCTGCTGCTGGCGCTGCTGCTGGTCCCGTGGGTTCCCCCAGCGCTGCCTCTATGGCCTGCAGAATGGTGCCCACCCAATGGAGGCAGAAGGTGGAGCGGTGTTGCGCAGGCACACGGGCGAGCTGGTGGAATACCGTTCGGCGTGACACCGGCTGCTGCGCTCGCAGTGAGGCGGGGGGGGCCCGGCGCAGCAGCGTGAGCAGCAGGGCGAAGTTGGCACTGGCGAGGCAATCATGGATGGCAGTGAGGAGGTCCACCCCGCGGTCCAGCATGAGGTACGCCAGCCCATTCCACCCCTTGTCCAGCACCACGCGGAACGACGACGCCTTGTACGCATCTTTGGCACGCGCAATCTGCGCGCGCGCTTGCTCTTGCTGCTCCTGCTCAGAATTCCCCATCCCTCCCTCCGCCCCCTTTGCATCCTCCAGGGTCACATCCCCCCCGCCCATTCCTGCTCCATCTCCCTCCTTGTGCTCCTTCCCCTGCCCCCCCACTCCACCTTGGCCATCCCCACTTCCACCCTCCTCCAACTCCTCCCATGCCTCCTCCGCCTCCTCTGCCTCCTCCGCCTTCTCCCCCCCGTCCGCCTCCTTCACCTCGTCTTCCGCCTCTTCCTCCTCCTCTTGCCCATTTCCCTCATCCTTCTCCCCATCATTCCACCAATGCCCCCCTTGCCCCCCCCCATCCACGATCCAAGGGCACTCCCCGGCCGTCCTTCTCCGCCGCTCCGCCCGTGCGATGCGCGCGAGCAGCTTGGCGGGGAACCTGCGGTGGTTGGTGGCGGGGAGGTGGATGTCCACGCCGCTGTGGTCCAGCAGGTTGATGCACACCGCCAGCTGCCCGCCAATCAGCGCCAGCTGGAACACGCCGTTGTCGTCCGCATCCGTCCTCGCCAGAGCCGCCCCTCGCCGCACGAGGAAGTTGGCGCAGATCTGCGCGCCCGCCTCGCACGCGTACATCAACGGGGTGCGCCCGAACCGGTCCGGCGCGTCGATCACCTCCGCCACCGCCACTCCTCCTCCTCCACCTGTCAACCGTGCTGCCGAGCCGGTTGCGCCGGCAGCAGTGACGGCAGCAGTGACAGCCGCACAGAGCATGCTGAGCAGCTCGATCGGCTCCTCCCCTGCAGCCGGATGGGACTCGCCCTCCACTGCTGCCACGTGGCGCTCCCCCAGCCGCACAAACGCGAGGTGCACCACGCTGCGCCCGTCCTCGTCCCGCGCTGCCACGTCAGCCCCTGCGTCGAGCAGCGCCTTCTCCACCTCGAATGACTCGCTGGTGCTGCCCGCCCTGCCCGCTGTCAGTGCAGACGCCTGCACCGCAAACATGAGGGGCGTGCGCTTCCTGTTGTCCCACGCGCGGGCCTGCTGCTGCTGCTGCTGCTGCTGCTGCTGCTGCTGCTGCTGCTGCTGCTGCTGTGCCCCGCTTTCCCACAGGAGTGCACGCACCACGTTGATGTCAGCACGCTGCTGCAGGTGGCATGCGAGGGCCGTGGAGCCCTTGGCCGTGCAGCGCAGGGGGTCCACGCCGCCCTGCTTCAGCAGCCAGGACAGCAGCCACAGGGCATCCTCGCCGGCCCGTGCAGCCAAGTGCAGCGCAGTGAAGCCAAGGCGGCGCTGTGCTCTGGCCGCTAAGGTGGGCATGACTGAGGGATCCACGTTGCCCCAGGTTCTGAGGCGAGGGGGCGCCTTGCTTATGTTGACGTCCTGCTCACACACTTGCAGAAAGCGAGCGAGGAAATGTAGGAACGCCTCCCTGGTCAGCTGATACTTCCTTGCCGCCTTCTTCTTTGGGGGAGGATGGGAGGAAGCTGAGTCGGAAGTGGAAGAGGAAGGAGGAGCGGAGGAAGGAGAAGGGGAGGAAGGAGAGGGGGAGGAAGGAGAAGGGGAGGAATCAGAAGAGTGCGTGCCACTGCTTTCACCACTCCCTCCCTCCTCTGCTCCCCCTCCTTCCCCTTCTTCCCCTTCTCCTTCTCCTGCCCCCTCTCCCGCTCCCTCTTCTTCTCCCTCTCCCTCCTCCACGTGCCCATGGCTGAGCGCCGCCACTTGTTGCGCGGGGGGAAGGCGCAGCTGCAGCGCTCGTTCGATGATGGAGAGGAATGCCACGTCACCGTCCTGGTTCGTCTTGCATGCCAGCTGTGCCAGCGACGCGTGCTGCTGCCCCTCCACGCCCTGCTGCTCCACCCCCTCCTTCCCCTCCGGCCCCTGCTGCCGCTGCTCCCCGGCGGCCAGCAGCTCCAGCAGTGGCAGTGGGTCGCGTGCCCCCATCACCACCGCCAGCACGTGCAGCGCCGACCCGTCCTGCTCACACCCCCCGTCCACAGGCGCCCCCGCTGCCAGCAGCTGGCGAATGCAGCGGTCGCGCACGGCTGCTGGTAGGCTGGTGCTGGCCATGAGGAGAGAGACCAGAGACCTCTCCACCTGCACGCTCTCCCCCTCCTGTACCAACACCACGTGCCCCTGCACCCCCTTCACCTGCATGTCCCGCTGAGCCTTGCTCAACGCCTTGTCTCGCAGCGCTGCCTTCACCTCCGTGCTCCTCACAGCGTACCGCACGGCCCTGCGCACGTGCGCCACTGCATGCGCGTGCACGTCAGCCCCCACCCCCAGCAGCGCATCCACACATTCCACGAAATCCCTCCGCTCCGCCTCAGAGTCCCTGGCCTGCCCCACGGGGCTGCTTGCACCGCTACCTTCTCCCCCAACCCCTTCCCCAGCCCCTCCGCCAACCTGGGCGGTACGGCGGAAGGGGTTGGAGGCTTTGAGCGTGGGGTGCTCTGAGTCCCTTACCCTACGCGCCTGCTTGGTGTAGAGCTCAGCTCCGCTGTGGGGGTTCAGGAGGGTGCGAGACACAGCGGCTGCGAGAGGCGTCATGCCGGCTTTGTTGCGCAGGTTCAAGGCCAAATGCGGCCGGACGTCTGCCTGCAGCAGCAGCCGCAGGAGCACTGCAGGCTCGCAAGAGCGCAGTGCCAGGTGCAATGCGGAGTCGCCTTCCTCCTTCGTCTGAGCGTTCACCCACCCCCACTCGCACCCCCCCGCTCCCTCCGCCGCCGCTGAGCGCTCAACCGCAGCTCGCAGCAGCAGTGCCATGGCGCTCCTCTGGCGGCGGCAGAACGCTGCCCACCTGCGATAGTAGCTGTCCAGCGTGCTCTGCACCTCCTTGTCCACTTGCTCCACCGGCTGCCCGCCCCACCAGCTGCGGTACTTGTTAGGGGCATCGTTGGCAGTGAAGTGAGGGGGCGCGCATCGGAGCACCGCCAGCAGCGGCGTCACCCCCAGGCGATCGCGGTGCGTGAGAGCGGCCCTGCATGTGGGGCTTCGCAGGAGCGCCCTCAGCACGTTCACGTTGAGCCGCTCAGCCGCCAGCTGCAGCGCCGTGCGGCCCTCGCCGTCCACCGCGTCCACGTCAGCGCCGGGCGCCGAGAGAATGGCGGCGGCGATGCGGGGGTCAAGGCGGCAGGCGGCTGGGCGCAGCGAGGCAAAGACATGCAGAGCAGTCTGGCCCTCCCGGGCGTCCTTCACGGCAGCTGAGATGGCGTGAGACACGAGGAAGGTGACCTGCGAGAGGCACAGGTGAGGGTCGGCCTGCTTGAGCGTGACGGCGTGGTGGAGCAGGGACTTGCCGTCGCAGTCCACCGCGTTCACACTGCCACTACCAGCACCGGAGGAGGAGGAGGAAGCCATTGCACCACCTTCCTCACCTGCCTCTGAATCCATGCGGCACTCAGCATCAGCCGCCAGCAGCAGAGGCCCGGCACCTGGGAGCGCTGGCAGGGATGCAGGCGGTGCAGCAGAGGAGAGCAGCGCAGTGGCGATGGCCATGTGGCCTTTGAGCACGGCAAGGAAGAGGCCCGAGAGCTTCCACATGTTCACCTGGCTGCGATCCGCGCCCGCCGCCAGCAGCAGGTCCACGGCGCCCTTGCAGCCGTACGCGCACACATAGTGCAGCGCAGTGTTGCCGCTCGAATCGGCGCTGTCAGGGGGCACCCCGCGCCGGAGCAGCGCCCGCAGCACCGCGAACTGGGAGTTGCGCGCCGCCAAGACGAGCGCGTTGCGCTTCAGTTTATCCGGCATCAGCAGCAGCTTCACCACCCGTGCCTCCCCGTCGCTCCCCCCTGCCACCAGCGAGAGAACCCTCTCCACCGCCGCGTCCAGCCCGAGCGCAGAGAGAATGTGCAGCACAGTGAGCTTTTTGTCCTTGGAAGGCAAGAGGGGGTCACCGCCCGCACGGATGAGGAGCTCCAAGACCTCAGCAGCCACGTTGGGCTTCATGTAGAGGCACTCCCACGCCGTCACGTGAAGCAGCGTCTGTGGCGTGCGCTTGTCCAACGGAGTGTTGAGCACCAGGTCCACCAAACTCACTCGAGCCCCTGCCACTGTCCCGTCAGCTTCTCCCTCCTCCGCCGTGCCGTTGGTGTCCCCTGCAGCCTCCTTTGGCAGCAGCAGGCGGGCGGCGTGCGGGCGCCCAAACGCCAATGCGCGGCGCAGGGGCGTGTGGCCCTGGCGGTCCTTCTCCTCTGCGCTCACCCCCTGCTTCAGCAGCCACTCCAGACACGCCGCACTGCCCCCTGCCACCGCCGCAAAGTGGATCGGCTTGCGCCCCTTGCCGTCCGCCACGTGCAGCGCCAGCGGCCCCGCGCGCGCCACCAGCTGCTGCAGCAGCCTTGCGTCGGGCTGCAGGGCCGCCAGGTGCACGGGGGTCACCTGCTGGTTGCCATACCCCGACTGCTTCAGCACCGACCCCGCCCGCACCTCCACACCCAGCCTGCCGTCCGCCGGCCCCACTGCCAGCTCGTGCACCGAGTTAAAGCCGTAGCTCGAATCGCCGCTGCCATCGGCGCCGCGGCAGAGGCGCAGGAGGTGCGCCGCCGCGGGGAGGTTCCCCGCCTCTGCCGCCTCGTACACCAAGCCGCCCCCTGCGAGCTCAAGGCACTGCGCGAGGCGCGAGGGCACAGGGTGGGCGGGGTCGCGCGGCTTCAGGTACGCGGGTGCGGCAGGGTCGGGCGTGGCTGCCATCATCTGCAGCGCCGCCACGGAGCAGCGCTGCGCAGCGAATGAGAAATAGGTGCGGAAGGAGTCGGCACGCGGCTGGGGGTCCTGCAGGAAGGCGTTGTTGCCCTCCTTGCCGCCGCGGCTGGCCTCCAGCTGGCGCGTGGCCGTGCCAAGCATGTAGAAGGACTTGCTGCCCGTGCTGATTCCAGCCAGGGAGCTCACGGGCAGACGAGCACGCGCACTCACCACACGGCTGCTCTCCTCCTCCTCCGCCTGTGCCTTCTCCTTGGCCTGGTGCTTCTTGCTCGCCTGTTCCTTCATCCCCTTGCGCGTCGTCGCCTGCCCCGCTACCACGTCCTGTGCACCCGACGCGGCCTGCGATCGTCCCACGCCCTTCCCTTGGCCCTTGTCACCACCATCACTCCCCTTGCCGCCCTTCCCCTTCCCTTTCCCCTTCCCCCCCTTGCCTTGCTTCCTGCGCCTCGTGCCCCTCTGCGCCTCCTCCTCCTCCTCTTCCGCCTCCTCCTCCTCCTCCTCCTCTGCCTCCATATCCGTTGCACCTCCCTCCACGTTCTCCTCCCGCCCCAACCCCCCGCCTTCCCCAGCCTCCCCCGACCCCTCACCACCCTCCCCCAGGCCCTCATCCTCATCATCACTCAACCCCCCGCCCTCTCCCCCCTCCCCCACTGCGCATTGCCCCAGCAGCCCGTTGGCCTCCTGCAGATCGCGGTCCAGCAGCAGCATGCGCGCCAGCCGCACCTCCCCCGCCAGCAGCGCTGCGCGTAGGGGGTCAACGTGGCACTCCGGGGACCACTCCAGGTGCGGGTCCGCCACGCGCGTGCGTGCAGAGCGCCTCAGCACGGCGGCCAGCAGGGCGGCGTTGCGCGTGCGCACGGCGCGGAAGGCCTCGCGGCTGGCGCAGCGCGTGCAGCAGGAGGCGTCAATGGACGACGGGTGAGCGTGGGCCATGGCGTCATCCACATTGTCCAATGCAGCGAGGCGGGCCTGGGACACATCCATCAGCTTCATCTTCCCCCGCCCCAAAAACTTCCTCGCCGCAGCCCTTCCCGCCTTTGCTGCTTTTGCTGGTTTCCCTGCTCTCACCGCCTTGACCTTCACTCCCCTGGCCCTCACCATCTTGCCTGCAACTCCCCCCCCTCTACCACCCGCCAGCTTCCGTCCTTTGCCCAGTTTCTCCCCCTCCACCTCCTCCGCATTCCCCTGCTCCTCCTGCCCTTCCACTTCCTCATCCTCCTCGTCATCCGCCTCGTCCGACGAGTCCCCGAGCTCTTCATCGGATCTGCCAGCCCTGCGCACTGCAGGCGACCGCCACTCGGGCACCTGGTAGAAGGCTGGAGACTTGTGGGGGCGGAGGCTCCTCCGCCGCCCACCACTTTCGCCCACCTCCATCGCTGCTACCTCTACCACCTCCATCGCTACCTCTGCCACCTCCCCCTCCTCCTCGCCCTCCTCTGCCTCCGCCTCGCCCCTCGATCGTTTCCGAGGCTCCGAAGCGCCATTGGCCAGCGCGGCCTGCCGACGATCCGTGGACCTTCTGGTGAAGGGCGTCTTCGCTGGGGTCGCTTTGGCTGGGGTCGCTTTGGCTGGGGTCGCTTTGGCTGGGGTCGCTTTGGCTGGGGTCACTTTGGCTGGGGTCGCTTTGGCTGGGGTCGACTTGGCTGGGGTCGACTTGGCTGGGGTCGCTTTGGCTGGGGTCGACTTGGTTGGTGTCTTGGGCGCCGGAGTCCTGGGTGTCTTGGCGGGAGTTTTCCCCGCCCTCGTCTTCCCCGCCCTCGTCTTTCCTCCGCTACCCGCTGTTGCTGACGCCGCGGTGACTTTCAGCGGGGTGGAGCGAGTGGGCCGTAGTACCCTGAGCTTGCTCGCGGCTGTCGCGGGTGCAGCAGCCCGCCGGGGGTGGGAGCGAAGCGGTTTCTTCATGCTTGCGTTGGGCTGCCCCGCCGGTTGCACTGCCTGCACGGACAGCAGCAGCAGCGGGCGGGGGGACTTCGCGGACAGCGGCAGCGCTGGCGGATCGACGGGCAGCAGGTGGTGGCGGCTGCAGGGGCGAAGGAGTGCTCTGCGGGGTGTTGGATGGGGGGGCGGGGAGGGGAATGCTCTCTTGAGCCTTTTCAGTAGCAGCAGGAGTGCTCTGCTCTTCACCTTTTCTTTCTGCCACGATATAGGAACTGGGCCCAGTGTGCGCCGTTTGGACCTGAGGGGGCAGGGGGGGAAGGGCTGATGGCAGTGTGCTTACAGTGGTGCCTTGGACCTGAGGGGCCAGGAAGGGGGGCAGGGGGGAGGTTAGTGGGATTGTGCCCCGCCTAGGGCCGGTGGGAACAGGGAGGGGAGGGCGGAGGGGAACGAGCGCAACTCCGTAGCCGTCATCATTGTGCGCAATTCGCGTTAGTACCGCGCTACGCGTATCCAGTTAACTTCCGAAGACAATTCGCTAGTACCGCGCTACGCGTATCCACGAAATGCGCTGTAGAGGGATGGCCTCTGTTAGTACTGGGCTAGAAATGTTTCGCCCGTTTGGCGTGCTCCCCTGAAAGCGCCACGATACGCGAGCATTGCTGGACATGGACGATGGCCGCGAGCATTGGTACAAGCGCCGCTTGACCTGAACCTCTTTCTCGACGGGCAGCACGTCCAATGCGGCTGATAGTAGTTTCGTTTTGAGTCGACTCAATGACCTGAACTACTATGACCTGAATCTCTTTCTCCCGTCCGTCCAATGCGGCTTCACCTTGGTGGCGCGCGAGTCCTGCTCCCCGCGCGCGCCGGCTGTGGCGAGCCTGGTTGTACACGGGCTAGGACGTACCTTTCTAGCTGGGACCGTAGTTGCTACAGCTGGCGGCTCTCCGCGTGGGGTGCCCAGGAGGCGCGGTTGGGTTCGTGGCAGCACGCACTCTGCATGCCGGTGACTTCCCCGCTCCTAAGCTTTTGTTTCGCCTCACTCCCTGGGTCTGCCGTCCCTTCCTTTCCAGTCGCTCCTGCGCCTCCCTGCTCTGTCGTTTCAGGCTTTCCCGCGGTCCCTAGTCGTCCTCCCCCTAACGCTACCCGTGGTTGGGCTTCCGCGTCTCGCCACTCATCAGGGTCGTGCTCCTAGTGGCGGCAAAGTTCCTGACGTGAGTGTTGGGCCTTGGAAGCTGGTGGTGGTGTAAGCTAAGTCGATGGCTTCGCGCTGGGGGATGCTACGTACCACAGGCACTGGTGGCTGTCTGCGCTTGCTCTGGTGCTTTTCCCCTAGCTCATGCTTTTTGCCATCCCTGAAATAGAAATCGAGGGGAATGGGGAAACAACATCGGGGGGAGGGGAGAATTGATATGGAGGGGAGGGGGGAATCGAGATTGGGGGGAGTGTGGAAAAGATTGACCTCGAAATTGCTGGAGGGGGGCGGGGCGGGAAAAGGGGAGAGGAGAGTTCGTCAGTGTGTTGTACTTGGGTTGCGCAACCCTGTGTCGTTACCGTGATCCCCGAACATCGCATGGCGTGTGAAAGATGGGTTGAGGTTATTCGTCAGTTAGCAATCCGGGATGCGGTCTCGAGGCAAAGCGCAACCCGTGAACCACGCCTCAGGCGCATTGGGCGAGGTGAAATCAAGATTCCCAATAACGCGATTATGATTGGGCCAATTTCGGCTGGCGCGAAAGTGCGTTTGATGAGGCGCGAATGGCTTCCCCCCTGGTGCGGCAGCAAACTGAATCCACACGCAAAATGTTGTATTGGTGAAGTCTCCTTGTCCCCGATTTTGTTTCGCCTGACTCCCTGGATCTGCTGGGGTTTTTTGGCAGCAAACTAAATAACATCTCCTTATCCCCTGTTCCAGTTTTGAAGCGTACATCACTATAAAGGGGTTTCTCATACTTTTTATCATGCTCATCCGAGCCGCGTTACCCAATGTGGCCTATCCCTATCTTCATGCACATTTTTGCGATTTTCACATTTCGTGCTCGTCGAGTGCGCTATGAGCCCAATTTCCCACCACGTGTCCGAGCCATGCTTATCAGAATAGCGCATAAAAAGTGACTAGGAAGGGAGAAGGGGGAATACAAGTACACAGGATTTATCCTACCTATTAACTAATCTAGCTAGGCTATAAAAACATAATTAACCTAACTATATATAAGCATATATAAATATAGGTTTGTTGACACACCCCCTAGCCTAAGTAGAGGCCACAAGGCCAGTCAGCAAGTGTAGCCAAGACGTGCAGGTATAGGACAGCAAGTACAAGCCGGAATACCACAGATCGGGATACAAGTAGGAGAGCGGCTACTGAGACTAGAGCAAGTTTAGTACAAAAACCGCTAATGGTCACGAGGCGCCAGTGCCTTGGTGAAGACATCAGTAGGTTGGCCTCTGAGGCCACCTGTACTATACGAGCCTGACCGCACTACTGCAACTCACATAGCAGGAATTACCGCAGTTGGAGGTGCTTCGCAGTCGGGCCTCCTGACACAGGAGGATCATGCCCCTGTTGTCAGTAAACAAGACCGGGGCAGACTTAGGCGGGTCACCTACGGTAAAGTAAGTCGGTGAGCAAGAACGTCAGCGAACAAAGCTCCTGAGCGGCCATGGCCCAAGCGTAGATCTATGTCACATAACTGGATTGAGTTATGGACGACGACCTAGTGGAACTCCACGAAACTAAACCAGAACCAAGACTAAAACAGTAGCCCTGTAAGGACCTAGGCGTCTTTACGTCGTCAGCCCACGACGCGTCTGTGTGTCCAGTCGGCACCACTGGCTCCCGTCCTCCTAGTACAAGGCCCAGTCCCGATGTACTTGTCAAATACCGCAGCACCCTCTTGGCAACCAACCAGTGGACTAGCTGGTGCCTCCCTGTCGCAACAAAGTGAGCAAGGAGACTGAGAAGGTATGCTAGATCTGGTCGAATGCAGATCATTAGGTACATGAGGCACCCCACCAGCATATAGACCACTAGGCTCAGCCGGAATAGGAGCAGAGAGCCTGTGATCCACAGGAAGAGGGGTGGGCTATGCTGAGGAGAACTAGAGACTGAAACTCTGGAGGATCTTCTGTACCATATGAGACTGGAAGACTGTGATCGTGCAAGCGGCACGGCCACGAGAGATCTCCAAGCCCAGATAGCGCCTCAACTCCCCCAGATCAGTGCAAGTATGCCTCGTTAGTAACTCGGCCTTCACTGAGGCCAGTGCGTCTCTGACAGGAGTAGCAAAGATAAGATCGCGTACGTGTGGAACGGGGTCTGACCAGTGCGAACAAAGAGAAAAGGGTTCGCAGAGGACCGGAAGAACTGTAGCTCAGCAAGTGTGGTGCAAAGCGTGTCATGCCATTCACGGGGTGCTTGGCGTAGGCCATAGACAGGGCGGCGCAGGCTCCACTGGGTCCTAGATGGGAACGACCCAGAGAAGCCTGGTGGGCGATGGAGGTAGATGTGCTCGTGCAGACTACCCTGCAAGAAGGTTGTGGAGAATTCAAGTGAGTGAAGCTCAAAGAGTAGTCATCTTCGGGGTAGGGGAGAAGGTCTGGAAGAAAGTCCAGACCCTTTCGCTGTCTGGAGTCTCTAGCCATGTAACGCGCCTTGAACTTCGGCGGCTCTCCAGGTGCGTGCTTTACCCTAGAGATCCGCATGCTATCGATTACGTTCGCCCCAGGCGGGGGAATAGCGTCGATGTACAGTAAGTGCATGTGGATCTGTAGGATGCCATCTCTTCCTCCATGGCCTGCCCAGGGGCGTGACACGGCCTCAGCGTAAGAGCGCGAGATAGGGATGTCGAGGGCGTCCGAGTCGCCCTCTGGGGAGACAAGGATGGAGCAGAGATGGGGTACAGCGGCCGCAAGGTAGGCCAGCTCGTACTGCCTGTCCTCTAGCACGTTACTGCCTGGGGCAGGTGCACCACCGACAGACGAAGGACCGGCAGTACCAGAAACCAGAGCGGCAGCGTAGTCCAGGCGGTGGCTAGCAGTGAAGTCAGCGATAGCATTGACAAGTGCAGAGACAGACTCAGAAGGAGCGGTAGGGTCAGCGACAAGCGACGCGAGCAAGCGCAAGAGGACTAGATGAGCAGTGCGAGCTAAGTTAGTGGGAGGAGCAGAGAACAACGGTAACGATGACTAGGGAGCTAACGGAAGAACTGGGACTGGAGGAGGACGAGAACGAAGAACCATAGGGTCGACACTAGGACGAGGAGACTGGACGAGCACCAGGGGGACGATGGACATAGTGCGGAAGAACGAGGGACTGGGGACGAGGGGAAAAGGGGGAAAAGACAGGGGATGGAGGAGACAGCTGGGGAAAACGAGCCGGAGAGGAGTCCGGGGGAGGGAACAGCGGGCCGTAAACAGTGTGAGGCCTAGGAGAAGGGACGCGCGGTCGGTCAAGGGAACAGTAGGAAAGACCAAGTAGACGAAGGGCAGATTGCGGCTGCTGCTGCTGCTGCTGCTGCTACTCCTCGTCCTCGCCAGGACCTCCAGCTCCACCTCAGTTAGTACCCCCGTGGACGCACCATCTACAGAACCAGCACCCCCAGAGTTAGCACCCCTAGAACCAGCACCCCCAAAACCAATACCCCCAGAACCAGCACCTCTATAACCAGCACCCCCAGAACCAGAATCCCCAGAGCCTACTACCCCCTGCTCCTGCTGTTGCGGCCGTTGAGTCTACTGCGGTGGCTACGGTTGTTGTTGAGGTGAGGGGGGAGGCTGCTGAGGTGCGTGGGGTACTTGGGCTGGGGGAGGCGCTGTAGGGAGAGCGCACCCCCTGCAGCTGGGCCCCCAGAGTCAGCACACTCCCCCACGAGCCCGACCAAGGGGATCGGAGTGGCGTGCGAGACACCAGACGGGGTCGAGCGGGGTAGGAGGGGTGCGACAGGGGGGGCAGGGGCAAGGAAGAGAGGAGGAGGAGGGACAAGAAAGTTGCTGTGAGGGAAGTGCCAGTAGTAGTTGAAGGTAACGTCACGAGAGTGGTAAAAGCGGTGGTGTATCAGGTTGTAAAACAGCTAGTCAGGGGCGTCTAGCGGAAAACCGAGGACAACATACGAAAAGATTGTGGGCTGAGACCTTGTTTGCGCGGGTCGGCAAAACCTGTAAGCGCAGGGAGCGCGACCACACGTTAAGCTGCTGAGGTGCGCACGACGAACGGCCACAGAAAATGGGGTGCACCGACGTGGACCAAGGAGGTGCGAGCTACCTCCATGACCGGACTGATGCGTTGCTCAGCGACCCCATTCTGCTATTTGGAGTCCGATAGTGTGTACGTCTGGCGGATGCCCTCCGCACGACAGAGCTGTCTTAGACTGCCATTGGCAAATTCGCCACTACGGTCAGAGTGTAAAGGAACCACGGATAGGTGGTGGGGATGCGAGCAATGAGCAGCCACGGGAGGAGAACGGTAGGCATGTCGGCCTTCCGCTCTAGCGGCAACACGGTGGTGTAGCGCGAGAAGTCGTCAATGACGACTAGGAGGTAGCGTTCTCGGCTAAGATTATGGACTGGCGCAGGACCCCAGACGTCCATGTGCAATGGCACAGGACCCCAGACGTCCATGTGCAGTGTTTGTGGTGGCGCTGTGGTCGTAAGAAATGAGGAGGATTGAGGGGTGGCTCGCTGCCGACCCTCAACGCAGGAGGTGCACAGTGGCGCTACCGACACAGGCAGGGCTGTGAGCGACTCAGGAAGACTAGTAACTAGACCATGCTGAGACATTGTGCCTAAGACATGGTAGTGCAAGGTGACTTAAGCGGTGGTGCCACAGAAGGGTCGGGTGGGCAAGGGAGCGACAACAGCACGACACGACTACCTCAGCAGACGTAGCAATTGGCAGGGACTCAGTATGCAGGGTGAAGAGGTCGGACGCTGGGCCAAGCTCAAAAGTGGCAAGACGTCTACCCGTGGTTGAGTCCGTACAGGCTGGGTGCCTCGCGTAGCCAGGAAATGTGGTGGTGACTCCTCGATCCTAGCAAACGTAGGGATGTGCAGACCTGTGAGGGAGCCAGAGGGGGACAGCTAGACAAGGGAGAGTGTTGGCCCTGCGTGCATCTGCTAGGGATATCTGGAATGGTGGAGGAAGCGGGGTGAGAGCAGTACTGACTCGGAAGAAGCAGCGAAACGCGCTAGAGTCGAGTATGAAGGAGAGGGCCGCTCTAGGAGGGTCAGGGGAGGAGCCTAAGGAACACATAGTAGAGGCTCCTAGACTAGACACAGTAGTGGGACCTAGACCCCTAGGCCCCCAGGCCCCCGGTCCTCCAGAGAAACCACA